CAGCTTTTTTCGTCGTTGCTGTTATTCTATTTATAAAAAATTGAACAGATACTATTCATCAGGGTATCAAAATTACTTAAACGATACTATTTGTCTCATTTCTCATTTGAGAAAGTAGTCAGACGTTCAGGCATCCAAATCTTTTCCAACTTCGCGAGTCATGCTTCATCCGTTTCAGTGAGAGAGACAATACAAAAAAGAGAATGGTTACGACATGAAGCTTCACTGAAGAAGTTCCAGCCTTGACAGAAGAAGCAGCTTCACAAATTCGTTATGACGGGAACTTCGTTTCATGCCAACATGTTCACTTGAGCGTTGCTTTAAGTGAAGCACTACGGTTTCGTTAATCCGCGAAAAATTTTTGTATTCTGAGTTCTGAACTGAATTCGAACATAAAAAACTCACCTTTTGTTAATAAATCCTGTTTTTCACATTACCGTTATTGCATAAATTTTTAGACTTTAGCATAAAGAACTGATGACTAACAGAGACGTTTGCTTTAATCTTAAAGTCTAGTAAATTATGTGAGAATTTACGTACATCCATAGCTGGTGTCAAAAAAGTCTCTAAGTAGCTATTGAAATCGAAAATCTTCATTCTAAGTTGGTGAACTCTCAGTTCTGAAATGGAACAACAGCAACAATGTTATTTTAAATGACAGTAACGCTGAAATATATACTTTAAGTAGTGCAACAAATCTTAAACTTAAACAAACTGCAAGATCACGTATCCCCTTACTTTGAAATGCCAGCTACAATCGATATCTAATGATAGTATTCATATGCCGGATGATTCTCATTTTCTTTTATCAACTATTATTACCATTATGTTGCTATATGCATAGTCACAGAGTGGCTTTGTGCGCCTTTCAAAAACTAGAAATTGTTCGAAAGAGGAAAACCTACGAAGTGTATATACACGATCACTTACTTTCATTCTTTAACATCGGTAGTAAATGAAACAGACCCACTGATTGCACTTTACGACGTCTAAGATCAGCGGATAAACCAAATACTGTAGCTCAAACTCATAATGAAAAGAAAAAAATTATTTAATTTCACCATTACAGCTAGTCCTTAACAAATGAATGCTTTTTCAGGAGAGAAGGACTGGTCCCCATGAATCGGACAGGATATGGAGAGTCTGTAAAACTTAT